ATCTGTTGGTTTTATGCATAGTTCACTTTGTAGCTGAAATGTATGAAAATGGCTATTTTTGAATCTGGTTCTTAATCAAACTACAGACTTAGATGCTAGATTTCTTTTAAGGGTTATCTCAACTCTTCTGATAGATTATGACCTGCTTCTTTATCTTTCAGAATTATATTTTAAGGGTTTTCACTTCATAGCTGAAATGTATGAAAATGGCTATTTGTGAATCTGGTTCTTAATCAAACTACAGACTTAGATGCTAGATTTCTTTTAAGGGTTATCTCAACTCTTCTGATAGGTTATGACCTACTTTTTTATCTTTCAGAATTATATTTTAGGGATGCTAAACATATTTTAAGAAATAAACAATAATTTAAAACTCTTTCTCTCCTCTCTCTCTATCCTTCAAAACTCTGTCTTTTGAATTGAAGGAGTTCATCTGTTGTATGAGTCGTATCGGAGTAGCAATTTTTAGGGCACCAATTAGGTTTTAACATACAGTTCTGGCTCTTTCATAACGAGGAAAAGAGTCGTGAAAGAAGAACAAATTAAAAATCTTGAAAAGAGGAACATTGCAGATATTTTTCGTTGTGTAAAATACTAAGGGTGCGTTTGGTACGCAGACAGGACAGGACAGGACAGGACGGGACAGAACAGGACAGGACAGGACAGCTGTTCAGCGTTTGGTAAGACATGATAGGACTGGACAGAACTGGTTAAAATGACCAATTTACCCCTATTGAGTCAATCCTATAATTCTAACAAATCGAATCAAGCATTACAACCCTAAATCGAATCAAGCATTACAACCCTAAATCGAATCAAGCATTACAACAAATCATACACATAAAATCGAACAACAAATCGAATCAAACAGTCGAGTTAGGGCARATCATACACAGCAAATCGTCGAGAAGGAGATGAAGGTACAGCCGTCGAGATGAAGGAGATGCCGGCGAGATGGAGCGACGGGGAAGACCGGCGCGATGAAGCGACTTCGTCGGGAAGGAGATGAAGGTACAGCCAGCGAGATGGAGCGACGGGGAAGACCGGCGAGATGGAGCGACTTCGTCGGGAAGGAGATG